AAAAAAAAAAAAAAAAGAAAGAAATTGATTCTTTCCTTCCACTTTGTGGGTCCAGGGAATTAAACTCTCATAGGTCATCAATGTTAAATTGGGAGCGTAGACCTCAGCCCCTTGCATCCATCCCAGCCCCCAGGCCTGAGAGTTGTATTGGTCTGGACTCCAAATCCCAGCATGCCAGGTTCTGACCCCTCCCTGGGGGGGGTGGGATCAGGACTACTCCCACAGGGTATTTAAGTGAATGCCCAAAAGAGGATCACGTGGTCTCTTTTCCTTCCTCCTGTTGGTTGTAGCCTTTCCAGCCTCCTGGTTCCATCTGGGGGGGGGGGGCACCCGAGAGTGCAGGAATCCCATTAAACCTGGATATTTCTTAATTTGGCTTGTTTTGATTTGGCTTGATTGGGATTTTGCGTAGGCAGAGAGCTCGTGTTAGGAAAAAAATCCTAACAATCAGGGTTGGAAGCACCTTTACCCATTGAGCCATCTGTGGGCTGCTACTATTGCTTCCTCCCTCCCTCCCTCCCTCCCTCCCTCCTTTCTTTCTTTCTTTCTTTTTTCTGTTTTTCTTTTTGAGACAAGGTATCATGCAACCCAGACTGATTTCAGACTTACTAGGTAACTAATGCTGGTCTTGACCTCCTGATCCCCCTGCCTCCTAGCCCAAAGTGTTGGGATTATAGGTCTGCCAACATGATCTCCTGTGTCCAAAGATTTCAGTCACAGAAAACAGAATACAATGTTTCTAGCCGTGGAAACCATCCTAGCTGAAATGGTAAAGGAAAGAAGGAAGGAGGTGGAGGCCAATATTCTTACATTATAAATTGTGTGTTGCAGGCCTGGCATTGTAGATATGTAATACCAGCTGCTTTGGGGAGACTGATGCAGAAAAATTGAAAAGGTCAAGTCCCATCCGGGCAATTTAGAAAGATCCTGTCTCAAATTAAAAGGAACCTAGGCATGGTGATACACATCTCTAGTTGCAGCACCCACAGCTCTATGAGTTCAAGACTAGCATTGGTCTACACACAAAAATAAATCTTGTCTTAAAAAAAAAAACAAAAAGTAAAAATAATGGAGTATGTGTTTAACATTTTGAAAGTTCCATGTTCACTGGGAGGTAGTGGTGCACACCTTTAATCCCAGCAATCAGGAGACAGAGGCCGAAGGAGCTCTATGAGTTCGAAGACAGCCTGGTTCCAGGACAGTTCCAGGACAGGTTCCAAAGCTACAGAGAACCCCTGTCTCAAAAAGAAACCAAAAGAAAAGAAAGCCCCATATTCAATCCCTAGCACCATACATACACACATATAGCAACAATAGTGACAATAATAAGAACAACAATAGTAACAAACAGTAGAATATAATAAACTAAAAATCAGCTGCACATACAGGCAGAATCTGCTTCCAGTCCCAAGCAAACCTGGGGTACGGAGAACTGGGTGCGGGACACAAATCTTTAATCTTACCATCAAGAAGCAGAAGCAAGCAGATCACTGTGAGTTCAAGGTCAACCTAGTCTACAATGGTCTCAAGCCAGCCAGGGGTACTCAATGAGACTCTGTCTCTAAATATTAAATCAATCAATCAATCAATCAATCAATCAATCAATCAATTAATCAGTGTCGTGAGAGATCCTATCTGTGGATGATGGTACATAAAGGAATATGTTTTTGTTTGTTTGTTTTTAAATATTTATTTATTGCCGGGCGATGGTGGCGCACGCCTTTAATCCCAGCACTCGGGAGGCAGAGGCAGGCGGATCTCTGTGAGTTCGAGACCAGGACAGGCTCCAAAGCCACAGAGAAACCCTGTCTCGAAAAACCAAAAAAAAAAAAAAATTATTTATTATGTATACAATATTCTGTCTGTGTGTATGCCTGCAGGCCAGAAGAGGGTACCAGACCCCATTACAGATGGTTGTGAGCCACCATGTGGTTGCTGGGAATTGAACTCAGGACCTTTAGAAGAGCAGGCAGTGTTCTTAACCTCTGAGCCATCTCTCCAGCCCTTGTTTGTTTGTTTGTTTTTAAAGTGACTCTGTTATTAGCACTGTGTGTTGCAGGGCACAGCCCCCAGAGTAAATAGCCACCATCTTCATCAGATCAGCAGTACCTGCTACCGGGGAAGACTATCCACAGCAGGACTGTTATCGCTGAACTTTCCCTACTAGAAGAAGTAGGTGGGGATGGTCATAAGATCCTCCCTGAGATACCAGCCACTTCTCCCTGCCATTTATATGAAATTTTGTCCTAAATACAGGGGTGTGCCTGTGGTGCTAGACAGTATAGGTAGGGAAGAGGGGAAAATTAACCAGTGGGAACTCTGTCCAAGCTGAGTGGAGGCTTTCCAGTCTGGCAACTCTTGGGGTCACTCATGTTTCCATAAGCAACCCCTCACCCATCCTTGTAAGACGGCTCAATAAATTTATTGGCCCTCCAGGGCAAACTTTGAAGGACTCCTACTTGGATTTGTCTTTGGAAACTTAAAGGAGAGGGTAAGCAGTTATACTCCCCTAGAAACAAACCCATATGTAACAACAACAACAAACCACTAAGAAATAGAACAAAATATTTTAAAGGCTTAGAAGTAAAACAGAGAAGGTAAAACTGAAGTGATTAAAATAGTTAAATGGGCTGGGCTTGGGGGCACTGTAATGATTGTTCTGTCTCTTTAAGAGACAACCCATGCCC